AGTCCTCATTAAACCTCCTGTAGAGCTAATAAATGAATTCAGCAAGGTTTCAGGATTTATAAGCTTAAGACACAAAAATCAACTACAGTTCTATACATTACAATTTAAAATGATATTAGGGAATTCATTTATAACAGCAGCAAAGGAATAAATACTTAGGAGTAAATTTAATAAAAAACAGTGAACACTACAAAACATTAAAAAATATTAGAAAGGACTTATAACAAACAGGAAAAATCTCAAATTCATGGCATGGGAAACTGAATATTATTAAGGTGTAAATAGTCCATAAAATATTCATCAAGTGGAACATCATCTCTATCAAAATATCACTGTCATTTTCATAGACATTGTCAAGCTAATTCCCAAATCTATACTGAAATTCATGTGACCAGCATACCTGAAGGAGTAGTGACAAAGAGGAACTAAGTAGGAAGACTTCAAATTCACAACTTCAGTATTTATCATAAAGCTATGGTGATGAAGACTGTGTGGTACTGACATAGGACAGACTTATAAATTGGTGAAGTACAATGGGTAATTCAGAAACGAGCTTGTGCATTTATGGCCAATTGACTTTTGAGTAAAGATGTCAGGATAACTTACCGGGAAAAATAGTCATTCACTGAATCGTGCTAGGCAAATAGATAGTTACCTACAGATGAATAAAACTGAACATTTAACTCACATCATACACAAAAAATAATTAAAAACAAATTAAGGTCCTAAATATAGGACATAAGTCTATGAACCTCCTGAAAAAAAAAAAAAAAACAGGCATAAATCCTCATAGCCTTGGTTTAGGAAATATTTTAAAAATATACATCAAAGCACAAACAAAAGGAAAACAAAAGATAAACTGGCCTTTCTCAAAAAGAAAAATTTTCATGCTTCTCAGACAACTAATAAAAAGTGGAAAAAAAAAAAACAATGAGCAAAATGGGAGACTATAATTCTAACTTGTATATCCTTTAGGGTTTAACATTCATCGCACAACAATATAGACAACCCAGTTCTAAAATTGGGAAGTTATTTAAATGGACATTTCTTCAAGTGTGATATACAAATGATCAATAACCACCTGAAAATGTGCTCCACAGTATGTCATTAAAGAAATGGAGATCAAAACCATAATGATTTACCACCTACAAGGAGGCTCTAATAAGGAGGTCAGTTGCAACTGCTGATGGGAACATGGGGCCATTAGAATGATCACGCAGTGTGGCCAGGATGTAACAGTGCTGCCACATGGAAGGCAGCTTGGCACTTGCTTCAAAAGTCAGACGGAGACTCGCCAAATATATAACACCACAAGAATAGACCTCAAGAACATCGTGCTAAGTGAAGCATGCTCTTCTCAAAATATCACTTAGTGCATGCGAAATGTCCAGAAATGGCAAATGAGGGAAAAATTAAAAGTGACTCTATTACACTTGTAGTTTTAGGGTCCAGAAATAGGGGATGACTTATGAGTATGAAATTCCTTCTGGAGTAATAAAAATGTTCTGGAATGAATAGTGGTGATAGTTGCATGCCTTTGCAAATAGTGAATATTTGCATACTTTAAAAGGAGAAACATTTGATATGAGTTATATTCCAATTTTTTAAACACTCTGATGGACTAGATGTAGATTGCTGAATACTGCTTGGTGCATACGTGATAAAGCGTGACTGTTTATTTCTTTTCTTTCCTTTCTTCCTCCATTGTGCATCTTACAAGGTTATTCTGGATTACTTGCCCCTAAGAGTCTGTCTCAGGAATATCACTTTATTAAAATGGGAAGCCACATTTATAATAGAACTCCCTGAAGGTGTGACATCTCTTTGGCTTTAGAGTAACTTTCATGATTTAGAGGCAAATCTCTGAGGTAGAAACCACCAATAGGTTCTATGCGTTTTTCAAGCATGCCCACAGACTCAGAACCATCTATCTGCCCTACCTGAGCTTGTGAAAATTCACCTTTCTTAGATTTTCTTTCTCCTCTGCCTTCCTGTCTCCTCTTTCAGGAGCCTTCATGACTGTAGGCAGAGGCCAGGGAACAAATGATAATGGTTTGTGTCTGAAAATGCATGTGTTGTGAACCAAAAGGAAAATAAATATTACTAAAATTAAGCTTCTGGCATTCCCCTGATCACTGAATGAGGAAGGAAGTTGGCTCCATTTGGGAAAACATTTGTAAGGTGCCCACTGCTCAGCAGTTTCAGATCTGCAGGCTTTACAAGGAACGGAAGGGTTAGAAATCAAGAGTACATTTCTCGATGTAAAAAAGTGAAAGGGCTTCCTTGCTTAGTGAGTACTTTTGCTTGACAGGCATTTTCAGGTTCCATTACTAGGACTGAGCTGCAGTCGGGCCCCTCAGGAAAGGAGAGATGGAGGAAGGGCCTAGTTCTGAGGATAAACCCTACACAATGTGAAGCAGGAGGGGGTCAAAGGTAGGCATTGACTCCAGAGTGGAATTTGATAATGTTCAGGTGTTTTCTCTCCTGCATGGGGACTCATAGTGTCTTTTCCATAAAAGTGACATCACCCAAAGTTCAGGTGGCTGTGCAGTAGAAAAGGACTGGCAATGAGGTAGCATGCTGGGTTCATGGGGTTCAAAAGTAGCCAAGGTGAGAGAGGAAGCTCAGAACAATAGTTCAGACTGGGGAAATAGGGAAAAGACAAGGACAATGTCACTCTTTCGGGATCCTCAGGCCTTCTGGGAGGTAGCTGGACCATTGTATCAGTGTAGCCTGGGCCTGTGCTGTGGCAGATGGTAAGGGGGGAAATAGCCCTAGGGACTGCAGGGCTGGGATCCCAAGCTCTGTTGTGAACTATCTTTTCTAAATATTCACAGGGCACATGGAGAAAGTTCCTCTACATAAAGGCATGGTTGACATACAGTGGAAGGGCAAGTGTAGGAGGCTGGCTGTCTGGGACATTCAAGGTATTGTCACAAATGCAGAGCACAACTTCAGTAGGTGAACTGTGGCTAAGTCTGAGGAGGTGGACTGACGGCAGGGATAAGGAGGTAGCAATGTATCAGAGAGGGATTAACTGCAGGACTTGTGACGTGCCAGGGATCCAGGGTGACTGAAGGTGGCTTAGTGCCAGGTTAGGGACAGGGTTCATCCCAAGGGTGAATTGATGCTTACCACTGGGATGACTGATGAAGGCCAGTAATAGTGAGGACTTAGCCAAGAGAGGGGAAGAAACTCTGGAGAGAGGAGCAAAGTTTCGCAGATGAGTGAGTTTCAAAAAGGGGGATTGGAAGCCAAATTCCTGAGGAGGTCAGTGACAGGGATAGCAGAGGCCAGGGCCAGTGAAAGCCTATAATGGATTTCCACAAGGGGCACGGAACTCTCAGGCTCTGGCCTCATGCTCTGTCCTCCTTGCTTGAATTCTCTCCGTCCATTTCAGGGCCTTTCCTCATCTTAGAACTGTTTGTCAGGCCAAGTGCCAGCATATGACCAGGTCTGGGCCACATGAAGTAGCAGGCGAGAGTGGGCACAAAGCCTCACAAAGACAGGGTAGCAGAAACAATAGTTTCTGACAGCTAAAACCAACTCAGGTGCATACACCCTGGGCCAAAGCTAGTGATTGGCCAGGCTGGAAGAAAAGCCAGAGACAGGGAATCAACACTCTGTCCTCCTCCAACTGTCCAGTCGTATCTCCACCATGGAAGGAGCTTGTGAAAGCAGACTTGGGGGTGAAATAAAGTGAACTGAATTCTTCTATAATCAGATTTCCAGATGCTGGAGTTTTCTTACACAGTAGAATGGCAGAGTGCCTCTCTCCTCTAAATGCTGCTCAGTCATCAGCCCCACCTGGTACACTGTAATCACTCTGAAAAAATGCAAAGGACTTTGAGACGTCTCACTCAGCATCTTCTTTTTACAAATAGAAGGACAGAGGTCCTGAGATAATGTAATCAATCACTTTTGGTGATAAGACCAGTGCCATAAGCCCAGCATCCTACCTCTGGTTGACTGTCTTTCACCACATACTCTCTGCCTCCCAAACCGTTCATGACCTTCCAGTCATGCAAGAGTAGCACCTTGCTCTGGTTCTGCCACTCACTGACTAGGTGACAATGGCAGTCAGTTAATTTTCTGAACCTCTGTGTCCTCATCTGAATATGGGTATGATGTAGACTAAGCATTGCAGTTTATTATCCTCATCAGGAGACCATATTACATGCTTTTGCCTGTTACATTCACAAAAGGATCTAGTGGGATTCAGCATAGTATCATAACGCGCCAGTAGACACATTCAGTGGTACTGGCTCTGCCCCTACTCTGAGAAGTTTGGTGGCATCCTACCAGGAACCACAATTCCTGGTGTGCTGAACACTGTGATGCACAGTTATCCCTGGGAGTAGGGCCATTCATTTTCCTTCTTTGTGTGAATGTTGCCTGGAGGAGCAAAGGCCAGCAGCATGGATATACCACAATGCTTCACAGAATATGGAGTTAATTAACTCATAGTGTTTGTGTTGGAGTTCTTCAAGGAAATCATAAGTCTTGGGTCAGTATGAACTGAATTAAGAGAGTTCTCTACATGAAAATGCCAGGCTTTGCTAAGCACATCAGAGATGGTGCTGTCCAGCTGACAGATCTCATTTATTCCTTGACCTTCCTCAGTTCCCCTTGCAGCAGACAAGACCATGTTGTGTCCAACATGTTGAGAATGATGTCACTTCCAAGTTAAAGAAATGGTGGCCTAGTTCTTTCTTTTCCTGCTTAATAAACTGGTGACATTCCAGTTGCTAGGGCCCTTAGTGAACTCGTGAAACAGAATCCTCCCTCTACAGCAGACTTTTCATGGAAAAGTAAATTTGTTTCTTGGATAAAGGCATATAGATTTAGGGATTGCTTGTTGCTGCATACAACCTGTCCTATTCTGATAAATGCACCAATAAAGTTTGTCCCCCTAACCAAACTATCTTTATCTGATGTAATAGTTAACTAATTGTGTCAAGTAGAGTAAGAACTGCCCAGTGAAATTGGATTGGCACAATTCTGGGTGTAGCTGAAGGGATTTACTGAAGAAAGAAGACTCACCCTTGTCCGGCTTGTCACTTGGATGGTATAAAAGGGAAACAAAGAAGAAGGTTCCACCTCTGTTTCTTCGGAGGAGCTCCAATCTCCACCTTCACCTTGGATATCATCTCGTGGCTTCCAGTCAGACTGTTCAGCCTCCAGCACAGATCCTTCAGCCTTCCAGCACTGGCCATTTGTCCTCCTGCTACAGAATCACATGGGACACTACAGTGAGCTGTTGGCCATTGACTTGATCCTTCAGATTTCTAACTTGCAGACAGACCTTTTGTTCCACACTGACTCCATGGGCAGCTATTGTAAGCCAACCTTGTAAATTCTTATATGTTTGTGTATCTTGCATTAAATCTGTATCTCCATAAGCACTGACTGATATAGATTTTGGTATAGGAGTGGTATCATTGCTGTGATGCTACCTGGTCATGTGATTTGGAAATATTTATAACTGACTTGTGGAAATAGTTTGGAAAAGTTTGGTGATAGTGGCTGAAGAAGCAGCCTGGAATGCTGTAAGCTAAACTTCATGGAGATTCTGGTCAGAACTCAAAAGATCAGAGTGCTGTTAGAAATGTAGCTGGTAAAGACCAGGCTCAGGAAGTTTCATTTAGGAACAAAGTATGTACTGGCAGTTGGACTATAGGCTATGCATGTTACAGTTTGGTAGGAAACTTTCTGCATTTTCCTCCTGTCCAGAGACTTTGCCTGACATGGAAATTAAGAGTAATGGACAAATTAATCTTGCAAAAGAAATTTCAAAGCAGTTTAACATTGAGCCAATGGTATGGCTACTATTGGGGGATTTTAGCCAGATCTATGTTGAGAATCAAGAGCAAAGATCCCAGAAGAATAACTTAAAACGTTTTGAGTTTGATCAGAAAGGTACTTCTAGTAAAGCTGAGGACTACAAAGATACAGTAGAAGAGAACTTTCTTGTTGAAAAATAACAAGGAAACAGGAAAGATGGCTTGAGGACATTACAAGAACCAAAATATCAAGGTGGAAGAATTTGCTTTGAAAAGAGAGCCCCACAGCATTTGTTTTAGGATGGGAATTTATTCCTCAGTATTGGGTTCCTAGTGGTAAGCAATCCAAGTACTAAATCCTTATAGCCAAGACAGAAGAAAGCCTGGCTATTGCTCAAGCTGGCAGCAGACTTTGGCATCACCTATATGGTGTAGGTTTTAGGGGTTGCATATGCAAGAGTTGTGGCATCAGGAAGGCTTCCACCCATGTTTCAGAAGTCTTGGAAGCCAAGCAGCACACCCTTGAGAATCTAATGTATGAAGCTGTGAATATGAAGCTGAAGTGAGGTGGAGACCCTACAAGATTGGAGAATTTAGGAATGTGGATTGTCTGAGAAAAGTTGCAAGGAATGAGCAGAGAGAAGCCATGGGAGCTACAATCACTAGCTGTGACATAGGGACGGAGCCACACAAGCTCTTCAGAGTTCACAGCTTGCCACAGATTACACTGGATGTTAAACATCGAACTACTGGAGTTAATGTTTGCCTTGCAGGGTTTTGATCTTGCTTTGTTTCCACTCTTTCCTATCCACTTATTTGTAGCTTTTAGAGTGGGAATATTTATCTTTTCCTGTTGAATGTTGAAAGTTTTTAACTCTCTTTTCATTTTTACAGAGGGCTCACAGCTAAGAGATTGCCTTAAATCTCAGAGGAGACTTTGTACTCAGATTTTTAAACAATACTGAAACTGTTAGGCAATTGGTAACTCTTGGAGATGCAATAAATGCCTTTTGCATAAAGAGATATACATGAGTCTTTTGAGAGCCAGGGGCAGGATGTTATGGTTTGTATCTAGATGTCCCTACAAAGCCTCATGTGGTCATAGTTGGGAGTTTTTGGAGGTGGCTGGATCTAAATTGTGTGTGATACTAGCATTAAGGTTGCATGAATACTAATTTAATCTACTGATTGGTTTAGCATAATTCTGAGTATAGATAATGGTAACCTGGAAGACTGAAAAAGGAGAGGCAGGCTTGCTGCTGCAGCTTCCAGTGCTTTGCTGCTTGCTGCTTATTTCTCCCTGCCTTCTGCTGCCCTGCTACACCATGAACTGTTTTTCCTCTGTGATGCTCATATGCCATGCTGCCCTGCCTTGGAGCCAGCCAAATAAGTACTGAAACCTCTGCAAACTAAAAGCTAAAATAAGCCTTTCCTTCCTTAACTTATGGGCCTCAGGTATTTTGTTCCAGCAAGGAAAAAACTGACTAAGACACTTAATCTCTTTCTCCTTCATTTCAGATGTGATCCCAGCAGATGACCAAGTACCACATCCACCAGTCTTCTTGATGACATTCTTCAGGAGCTCATCACTACTGCTAAAACTTATCAGAGCCTTGTATAATTTCTGTCACATTGTTTCATCACTCCCTTCCCTGCAGCCTCTCTCTTCAAGGCCTCTTCTCCCTAAAACAGATCCTACCTTAGAGTCTGTCTTTTCCCAAAATAGAGAGAGTACAAAAATATGTGTATGTGAATTTTTATAACTGGCTTTATCTTGCAACCTCTTTCTTCACACTTTGAGTGGCTTGGGGCCATTGTTGGCCATCAGTTTATAAAATAAATGTAAAAGGCACCATTTTTAAAAAAAACTTTTTATCGGTACCAGGGTTCGAACTCACAACTGCCTGCTTGCAAGGCAGGCACTTATGCTGCTGAGCTAAATCCCCAGCCCCAAAAGGCACCATTTAGCCCCTCAAGATTCCCTCCAATATGCCTCCAACTGACCCCTTGTGGATTGATTTCCTACCATTCTCCCTGGCATCCTGAATCCAGACTAGCTGACCTCTCCATCTACCCTGAAGCTCCCCAATCTTGCCAAGGTTACACCCTGACCTATTTCTTCATTCTTTAAGCCTTACTCACCCTAAAAATCTCAATGTAACATCCTCCTCCAAAAGGAAGCCTTTTCTGACTTGGCAGAAATTCTGTGACATTCATATGGTGTTTAGTCACTAACTGAATTGTCTCTCTGTGGTTTTGTTTTTACATATGACCTTCCTCCTGGTGTAACAGCTCTATAGGGACAAGTGCATGCTTCCATAACTGATGTTTAGAATTCAGTGGGTACTCAAAGGGACTGGCTAGAAAAATGGGTATTCAGGATCTTCTCAATTCTTAGGAGCTGCTTTGCCACTGGCTTTATTTCTAGTTTTCTTGACCAGGACCATATATATGTGCTTCTCTTTAATCACTCATAGTGGGAATGGCTCCAACATGCATATCAGCATCAGTCAACCCTCAAGGTGCTTGGTCCAAGCCACTGTAAGCCCGAGGCTCATGCTTCTGTAGACAGGTCTCTATATGGTTACGGAAAACCCCTCTAGAGCTTGCAGTGAGATGTAGAGATGGGAAGTATCTTGATAAGTGAGATGAATATACAGTTCATATTCCTAACCACATCCGAAGACCTGGAAGATGGTACTTACTCTCCAACTTATACCTGAGCCTTCTGAAGCAGTGTGGGTGGCAGCAAGGTACTCAGCTCTATTTTTTCTGAGAGCAGATGGTGGACATGCTGAGAGTTGACAGTGCTGTACATTCCAATAGCACCTCTCTCCTGGAGGCTACCTTGACTTTCACCAGCCTCTAAGAGCAGACAACATCAAGTGTCAATTCTTGTCACTTCTGAATTTATAAGCCAAGAATGGTACTCAGCTCTACACAGTTCTAAAGTTCTAGGAAACTTTGTCTAGAGACATTGTTTATTTGGAAACACTGACTATTTTGAGCACATGGAGCATCTTTAGGCAAAAGCCTTCAATATTTCAATTAACCCTGTAGATACTATAGACAAGGCCAAATATTTCTTAAATTTTTCCAGTCTAGAATTTGCCATACTAGTGATATAAAGGCCGTTTAGTGATTAAGAAAGTAAGCTGTACTGTCAGGCTTTTGGGGGATGGGAGTGCAATTTAAGACCAAATTTTTCCAGGCAGCCTTGGGAAGCTTCCTTAACTCACGTATCTTATTTTCAACATTTACAAATGAGAGATGATAATAGCACAGGTCTTCTAAGACCCTTAGGAGGATTAAATTATAACATAGTTAAATACTTAGCACTTCTTGTGTGACATCTTCCACATGACTCTGTTCCCTTCCTCCTTCACCTGCAGGCTTTCATTTCCATGTTTTTCTGTGAAATTTTCTCACAATGAATTTTTAGTAACTGGCTTCATCTTGCAACCTCTTTCTTCACACTTTGAGTGGCGTGGGGCCATTGTAAGTCATCAGTTTATAAAATAAATGTAAAAGGCACCATTTAGCCCCTCAAGATTCCCTCCAATATGCCTCCAACTGACCCCTTGTGGATTGATTTCCTACCATTCTCCCTGGCATCCTGAATCCAGACTAGCTGACCTCTCCATCTACCCTGAAGCTCCCCAATCTTGCCAATGCTGCACCCTGACCTCTTTCTTCATTCTTTAAGCCTTACTCACACTAAAAATCTCAATGTAACATCCTCCTCCAAAAGGAAGCCTTTTCTGACTTGGCAGAAATTCTGTGCCATTCATATGGTGTTTAGTCACTAACTGAATTGTCTCTCTGTGGTTTTGTTTTTACATATGACCTTCCTCCTGGTATAACAGCTCTATAGGGACAAGTGCATGCTTCTATAACTGATGTTTAGAATTCAGTGGGTACTCAAAGGGACTGGCTAGGAAAATGGGTATTCAGGGTCTTAGAAGACTTCTAGGGGCTAGAAACATTACAGTGAGTCCCTGAAGACTCCTGGAACTTTTAGGAGACAAGGAGAAGGCAGAAAATATTTTTGCCACTCCTAGAGGTTTGGGAAGCACCAGGAAAAATGGACTAATGAACTTTCTTTAGACTCCATATTTTCTACAAGGCTTTCAAAGTGGTCACTTAGTAACAATTGTGTCATTAATGATCAAGTCTCAGAAGCAGAACCTGGGTCCCAGTAGTGGTTTCAGCTTTCCCTGTGCTTGCCCTTGGCAAGTTCATTAACCTCCCAGCACCCACATCTCCTACCTTTAATATGAAGACAGTCACAGTCACTGCCTCACTTAGTTGTAAAGAGTAAATGAATCCACCCATGGGAAGTGGTGGGAATGATGCTTTGGCCACACCAACAAATACTCTCTGACATTTGGCCTGCAGATTCTGACAGTGATATGTGGAAAGACAGATTTAGCTCAAACCCAAACCCTGCCACTTCTAAAACAATGGTTAGGAACACATGCTTCCTCTCTAACTCTGCTTACTCACCTTTAAAAGACAGAACCTCACGCTCATGACACCAGCTTGAGGGGAAATGAGATCTTGCTTATGAGGCACGGAGAAGAGTGCTTACCGTATGTGGGGATCAAATTCGTTGACGCCTCCCTTGGGTAAAGTGGCAAAGGCTAAGATCCTGGCAACTGGAACAAAGTCATAGGAGAAAATTCATTTTGGTGGGTTTAACGCTGACTTTGATGGGGCTTTGCTGCCACCTGCTGGATTTGTTAGGCATGACCCTCTTGGTGCTCTGAGTTGCCACCTTCTGGTGGGAGAGGAATTGTGAGAATTCCTGTCTTCTCTGAGGCTGCAGCTCGCCTCGCCTACTTTATCTCAAACTCATAGGGAGCATTGACCACGTGCCAGGTGTGAACTCCGGGGAAATAATTAGAGACACAGGCGGCCTGGCATAGGTGAGGTGCACATCCGTCAATGGACCTAAGGAATAATGTGTGGAAATTTATTATTTTTAAAGTGAAATTTATTAGCATATGATGTATTTATATACACTAAAATACACACATTTAAATTGTACATTTTGATGAGTTTTGATAATGTTTATATGCATGTAACCCCAAACAAAATGTGGAGCATTTTCCTTATCCCAGAAAGTTTCCTCATGGTCCTCCACCTTCTACCTCAATCTGATTCTGGCCACAGTTTAGTTTTGCTTTTTCAAGAACTGTGTGTAACTGGAGTTGACCAGACATTCTCCTTTATGTCTGGTTTCTTTGATATCACAAAGTGATTCTGAGTTTGGGATGTGACAATAGTTTTTATCGTAAGGTTGTTCTCAAATGCACAAGCATGTAATACGTTCTTTATTTAATTTCTTGATACATATTTGCACTGTTTCCAGTTTTATACTGTGGCACAAGACTGCAGAAACCTGCCTGGACCTGTGCAGCTTTGTGTGGTTTTAATTTTATCTCAGTAGATTTCTAGAAGTAAAATTGATAAGCTGTAGAGTAGTAAGCTTGTTCTCCAAAGCCTGGCAGTACATCCCCTCTTTCACTCTTTTCTTCCTCCTCCTCTCTCTCTCCATGAATTCCTTCCTCCTTCCTTTCCCTTCTTGTCAGTGCTTTCTGTGTCTTCTTTCAGAAATCGTTGTCCACATGAAAGTCATAAAACATTCTCCTATATTTTCTTTCCATAAAAAAAAGACATTAAGCCAGATGTGAGAGTGCATGCCTATGATGTCAGCATTCTGGAAGGTTGAGGCCGGAGGATCACAAGTTCAAGCCCAGCCTCAATGCTAAAAACCCCCCCCCAAAAAATTGAGTCAAGGCAAGAATATTTGCTCCAACTATACTGATAAAGTATCACATTGGTTATCACAGCCAGCAAAATAAGGCAAGATATGGAAATAAATATATACAGATTATAAAGGAAGAAGTAAAAATATAAATGTGATTCAAATTTTTGTTTGATGGTCCGTCTTAAATTAGCTTTTGTTTATGGTGTAAGGGGAAAGTGGAAGCTTTTATTCTCCAAGTGGATATCTATCAAGCCAGTATCATTCCCTGAAAAGATTACCACTTATTGTATTTTTTAATTTTTATTTTAAAGAGCATAAAACAGAATAAAACCAATCAAATCAAGCCAGTGTAAGAGATACAGTCCTAAAAAATGTTACAAAATCAACAGTAGTTATAATGCCTTTTGATGTCTTCAAAATAGCTGCAGATAACTTCCAGTGTAGTAAAAATCAAATAGAACAGAATAGAATAGAAGCAATAAAAACAAGACAACGAATGCAGTAAAGGACATCAAAACAAGCCAATAGTAAATCCAAAATTGCTACCATAATATAATCTTGCTATCTTTGAAATAGCTGCTACTACCATTGGATTTGACATAATCAAACAAAACAAAAGACAGTGAAACCCAACCCAACAAAACAACAGAAACAGTATAAGACTTCTAAAACAAGGCCACAGGGAATCAACAATGGCTGCAGCCCTCAGAAAGAGATCCCCCTAGATGCCACACTGCGGACCGCTATCCGCTGAGCCCAGGATCAGGCCACTGGCCCTAGACCTGCAGGGTTAGTGAAACGCCAAAGCACCACAGACATCCAATTGCATTTCACCTCCATAGCTATCATCACAGCCTGTGTTTCTCCAGATAAGCCCGTCTCTTACGTTGGAAGGGGAGTGTGGGATGATCCTTCTTATCTGCCAGCCTGTGCACCGGAACGGGCTGGAGTCTGGTTGTTCCAGTCCAG